GCATCGCTACTAGGAGCAAGGACGCTACTAGGCGCTCCTGGCCTTACCACTAGGAGCAAGAAGCTACTAGGAGCAAAGGGCATCGCTACTAGGAACAAGGACGTTACTAGGAACAAGTGCATCGCTACTAGTAACAAGTGCCTTACTAGTAGTAACAAGAAGCTACTAGGGGCTCCTGGCATCGCTACTAGGAGCAAGGATGCTACTAGGAACAAGGACGTTGCTAGGAACACCGTGTTCAACGAACCCATGACTGAGTTTGACCGTTTGACCAAGCCCCTTTGAACGCTTTCTGTTTCCAACCTCCGCATAGGCTGCTCGAGCTCTTCTTGCATCCATGGGATCTGTCATCGTAGCACTGGACACCTGGAAGCGACTTTATCCGCCGCCCAGTCATAAAGCCTGATGTTCTGCATGCCAACAGGTTCTGCAAGACCACTGATAGGTGCACGCGCACAACCACTAAGTCACTAAGCCAGGAAAAACCAAGCATACATGCAATGGACGTACACAGGCAAAGGGCAAAACGACATTGGACATTTTAGAGTATGCAAGGACTGCGCAATGATGAAAGAGTTCTGTGCATGCGGAGTAGATGGCCGGCAGCATGGGCTCAACAATGCCTTGCCACTTTGGGAAAGACTTCTGCCAACTGGCCTGTGGCAAAGATGCAATAGCTCATCAAACCAACATGTGCACGAAAGAGAGAGAGAGAGGAGCCTAATAGCGATGGCAGTTCCTGATCGTTGTTGGGCAGTTGTCTTCAAAACGGTGTGGGAAGGAACAGGGGTGGTTCCCGGACAGTTTTGTTTCGTGACGGTCACCAAACATCCATCAGCTCGTCATCTCAAAAACGTGCCAAACGTGTGAGGCTCACTCTGGGTGTCCATGCTTTGAACGCCGCAGCCTTGCTGAGTTCTAATTCTACACTCTTCGAGCCAGATTCTCACAGTGACTTCAAATGGCATTCCACCCTTGTGTCCAAGCGCATACGTCTTCACTGCATGTCATGTTGAAGTTATTCTTGCAAATTGCCCTCATGACAGGCAGTCGTTGTCCATCACATGCTCAAAGGGCAAACACTTGGGTCATACGTCCCACGCTTCAACAATCTTGTTTGTGATGACACTACTCACTACTCCTGTTAACAGTGCACTCAAACGTAGGAGGATGATCGATAAAGAAGTGGTCAAGCGTATTCAAGTCCGTCTCCAAAGAACATCCGAAGTGGTCCAAGCAAACTCGGACAAAGCACCGAAAAAGGCTCTCCGCACTTTTTGGGTCACACAAAATGAGCCAGGAGCCCTGTGGTGGGGTGAAAGCAAACCGATCTACGAGGAAAACAATGAGCCATCTTGGACGACTTGGTGTTCACAACTTCGAACGGAGAAAGTACGAGGCTTGTAACACCGTTTCAAGTCTTTGGGGCGCAACCACGCTAGTAGTAACAGGTGCCTTACTAGTAGTAACAAGAAGCTACTAGGAACAAGTGCCACGC